CATGTTGAGTCATCGGTTTTCCTGAACCAACGCCAAGCAAAGATCTCCTGGTCCTGCGCACACGAGGACTCGAGGAAAACGTGAAGGGTAGTATGTCTTTGCGAGAGCTTGAGCACAAGAGAGTCCGGCTGGGGAAGGGACAAGGCGATATCACGGGGACGGGTAAGGTGAAACAGGAGACACAACGGGACCAATGTGACATGTTTGAGATGAAGTGCCGTCCTGCTTTTCGCTGCGACTCACTATTACAGACCAAGTTCCATCAGGTGGTCGATCGAGAATCCTCCAATGTGAGGATCCATGAGCTCAACATCGATTGATTTCGCGAGTTCTTGACCGAGAAGCTGACCATCATGCAATCGCGACGGGAAAAGATTCGATGTACGTTCGTTGTGTCACAGAAAGATCATGCCGGGAACGAGGAACGACTTCACGAACTCTGATAGCCATGAAAAATCCTTTTCGTAACAAGCTCTTCACGTTCAAATTCAGTTCTTCCCCAAGGGCGGAGGGGAAGGGGAGAAAGTTCACAGGGAGGTAATTTGGAAAGTCTTCAAGTTTCAAGCCGGTGAGGGTACAGAATCAACCATGCGTCTACAAGAAGACTGTGTTTTGGGACTCGCTTAAATTTTAAGTACTTGGATCAAACATCAGGGAAAGATAGAACAACATCGTGACTTGCAACATTTTCGGTCTCCAAGCTCCCTTCGGGGCAGCCAATCCTGAAACCTGCTCTTCGCCCTCCGATTAGAGTAGACTACAATATCCGGGCTTTCCTTGGGAAAGGTTTTGCTCATGGCGTCAGATCTCTCGCTACCGCAGCACGCAGAGATGCGCCAGAGTGGACTCCATTTGCCTCAACACCATAACAGTGTCTGTCCGAGTTTCTGATGATACTCGCAAGGACAATGATTAAGACGAACCAGACTTACGTCGTTCCATGTTGCACTATCTTGGAGGGTGCACTCGCGCAAGATGACGTACAAAAAGGTGGAGTAGAATGCCATTGATGTCCATGTCGATGTCGATGGCAAGCATATTCGTAGAAGATATTGTGATTCCTGAAGTGCAGACAAACCAGCAGTCAGCACTGGCATTAATGGCGTCATTGGATGGATCCAGCATTGACTTGAGCTGGACACACATGTTGACACCCAAATGTGGGAGTAAGGTTGTCGCTGTGTGGCAATGCCTGTCCGCACTCCCCCTAAGTGAGATGTAAAACGCACTGATGCCGGCACAAGTTATGTTGTCACGATGTGCTAGCGCAAGAAAAAGGAAAAACTTAAGTTGCAGAGGCATCATCATGAAGAGTGGTGCAAATGGTAGTAGCAGTATTCCCCTGTAGTTTTTCTCCAAAAGACGGTTATGAATGTTATCTTTCTGTGCTTACACATTGAGCCACAACTGGTGTATAACCTCTCAAAATTCCATTGAAGAATAGAGGGAAGAGAGTCGTCAACTCATGTTTCAACTGCAGTTCCCTTCCATTCAAGAATTGACGTGACTCGGAATCACTGAGAAACAAAAACAGAAAACGCGGCACACTAGAGTGTGAGAGAAGTGTGTAAGCGCAGGGCAGTCGACCCGATGAAGACGAAATCGAGGAAGGTGTGTTGACGTCGGCATCGCACCACCGTCAAGTCCCAACAGGGTGTCATGCAAGCGTCCGAAAAATCATTGTAGTCGACGTCACATCCAGTGTCAAGCAATGCAAGGGAGCGCAGGTTTGCCAAGCTGACTGTCGAATGAAAAGGCCGAAGAATATTACACGGAATACACATATAGTGCTGAGAGTTCGTGAGCTTGGCAGTGTCTAAAACATCGTTATAGCCAGTGCAACGAAAATGGCACACCAGGAGGGCAAACTTGCCACTGTGCGAGGGGCTTGGGCGAGCTTTTAGCAGCGCGCTTCCAGGGTTTGACTTCACCCTGCAGTTGGACTTCACCCTTGTAAAGAAAAGCGTAAATTAGAATTTGGCGATATATAAATGAATGTAAAACACTAGAAAGCAACAAGAATGTTCTGACTTGGAATCTCCCGCTTCTCCATCTCATCTCGCTCGTCTCGTCTCCCCGGTCACTTGGTGTGATTTCTCGGCTCTCTCTCCGTATCTCGGCTCTCTCGTCTCTCTCGGTTCTCTCTCTCGTACTCGTCTCTCGCACGCTCTCCGCGTGCCCTCGGCCTCACTCAGGAACCCTCGCCCGGCCCCCTCCACAACTGCGACCGTGACCATTAGCTGATTTGCGGTATTGTGGACCGTTCATGGCATTACCACGCTGGAAAGCTTTCCACCACGGCGACATGCCCTAAAAACATGCTCTTCACTGTATCACATGGTCTGATCAGGTCCTGTGCTCTGCTCCCAACCAGGCCTCTCACATTCGACGTCAAGAGAAGCTGACATCATCTTGCGCTGAACCACTCGAAAGATGGCCGCTTGCGTGCGACGCCCAAAAAAGCGCCTTGATCAAATGTGTCGTCGAAGGTAGGCTTGTGTGGGAGTGCTGCCCTGCCCTGCCCGCCTTTTCGCCGTGAGCGTGGACTCATTAGGTCTGTGGCGTAACGACGTGGCTCCCTCTTTGGAACCTGCCAGTCGGGGTGAACCCCAAATATTGTCAAGTAAGCGGCGTAGTGAGTGAGAAATAGAGTCATGATGTGGAATTTCTTTGCACCAGTCGATGGTCGAAGTGAGCTCAGAAAGCATTAATCATCCAACGGACTGAGGACTGCGGGGACGTCTCAGCAGAAATAACAGTACTCGTGCAGGTTTTTATGATTCATGCGGGGGCCCGTTCAAAAAGAGGACGGCTCGTGTGGGTCCGTCACGGACATGGCACTACAGTCGGTCAAATATGGCGCTGAGCATAATAGGAGTATGAACTGCTATTTTTTGCTCTGAAACACGCTCCATTCGCAATTCCCACTGGTTTCGAAAACGTTGCAAAGTGCCGCAAACAAAGAAAAAGGGCGAGAGCGGCTAAACAGAAACGCCGCCGGTCCGCAGCACCAAGGAAGCGACCATTTCCACGTTGCGCTGCTGTCTGCGCACGCCTGGGAATACAAAGAAAAGAGAAGAATAATAAAATGCACGCACTCTCCCTCTCCGTCGCGTCCGCTTCCCCCGGCACTCGCACGTCCAGGTCAATCGATCCATTCCTTCTCACCGCACCAACTCATGGACGTAATGCCGACGCTGGCTGATCGCAAGAAAACGCAATCGCTGTCAGCGGCTCCTTCGCAGGTGTGTATTTTCTCTTCCCTCTCGTCCCTCTCCGTATCTCCCGGCATCAATTCAAAGTACCCTTTACACCTCCCGTCGCAGGCATCTCCGCTGTGAACTGACGCGAAGACCTCATTTAAACACGCCCCACCTTCCGCTTCACCTTCGGATTCCCGGCCGCGCGCGCACGTCATGTCGGGATTCGAGGACTCGCCGTTCATACCATCCGAAAGGGCTCTTCTCCAACGCGGGTGAAGCGCTCGTGCCACGCTGTAAAGCCGTCAAAGTGGCGGCCAATCATGTTGTTGTGGGTCGTACGTTGGCCGAGCGAAGTGAGGACTCCATAGGCCTAAGCGAGCGCTGACCGAGGCTGTCCGCCAGAGGTGAGTGACCTGCAACGCAGAATTCCTTCAGTGCGGAGCGAAAATTGCACCGAGGCTGGCGATCGTATTGGGAACCCACCGTAGGGTTTCTCCTGGGCGCCCCCAGCCGCCTTGATATGCTGCACGCCGAGTCGTCCCAAAACGGTGGAAAGGATTGTATGGCATGGAGCTCAAATCTCAATAGGGCGCTTACCAACGATGGCGTCTCTCGGGAAGTGAAGGCATCGTCGGGGAGGAAAATTCAGTCGGACCTCCAGGTATGTGAAGCGTGCAACCCCTTTTTGTCACCCATTTACGTCAAGAGTTGGAACAGCTTGCGAGGAGCGGCGCAACCGCGAAAATTAACCTCACAGCGGGACCAGGGTGACATTTTACGAGGATCAATGAGGAAGAAACCGTGGATGCAGTGGAGCGGCCGCGGGAGAGAATCAGGGCGAGGGGAGGATATGGGATGTGGGGGCAGACCGCAGTGGCGGTTGGAGTACGGGGATTCCGAGAGCGGACATCGGCATTGGTTTGGTTGGTTGTTCAGGGGAAGGGGTGGGTGACGGGGTGATGGCAATGGTGAGCGGGTTACGAGAAGGCAGTGGAAAATGGAGCGGAGGAGATCGGCATGCATCACGGACACCACCATTAACACCACAGCCACGTGCACGGACGGCGCGGTAGTCACCACGTGCAAGACCATTGGCACCCGTAGACGTTCGGAGGGCGGGGAATGCAATACCGAGTGCGATGGCTTGAGGAGGAGGGGTTGTGTGATGTAGATGGACCGGACTTCTGGAGGATGAGTGGATGAACTTTGAAGTCCAGAGGTCGTTGTGAGAGGTGTATCTGAGATATATGTAAAATAAAAATCCAATTTTGAGGAGAAAATCGTCCTTTGTGAGCCTTGGTGACACTTTGTGGGTTACTCGCGTTAAGTCGCCGGTGTGGACTCGGAAATGATGGGGTGAGAGTGGGCAACGGACGAAGAAGCGCGAGATAATCTCACACGTGGACGTAATTTTGAGTATTTAAAAAGGTTAAAGGTGAGCTGGTACCTGACCGTGGATGATGCAAGGCTGTCTCATGACAGTGCGCCCTTCTAACCTTGCGAAGTGTTGGAGGCCCGCAGCTGTCTAAAGGTGCAGTTTTGCGACAAAATGAACAGTTTGAAGGAGGAGGATCAATAGCATCTCGATCCATCCGAAAATACTCTTCGAAGTAGCGAAATGGAGGGTCGCGTGTTGCTGTGGTAGTCCTGTTTGGCGTACAGACCACGTACCAAACACACTACCCAAGAACTCCAACAAAAGTTGTCATTTGCTCGCCACTGTATTGGGGGATAGATTCGTGATGATGTAGGCAAAAATTTGTGCGACAGGTCGTGTAAAAGTAAAAAGTAATTCGATGCGCCGACCGGGAGTCGAACCCGAGTCTGCCGCTTGGGAAGCGGCTGTTCTACCGTTTAACTATCGGCGCCCTTTGGTTTTTGCCTCTTAATTTATATATATATAATAAATATAGTGAGTTCGGTTCACAAGTGAAAGTCTGAGCGGTCTCGAACCTTTGAAAAACCTAGACCGGCAGGCTCTCATTGAATACAACGAGCGTAGAAAAAAAAATGACGCGTTGGTGTGGCCATAACGTCAAGATGATGATGGGTTGCTTCTCGACCCGACGTTCGTGCCATCGCAGAATCAAAGGTCCAAACCCTCGCAGCCAGAACGTGTTCTCTCCAAACTTATGCGCTGATCCGCTTTTATGATTGCATTCGAACTCTTACCCAATCTTTGAGCTCTATCACCTGATGCGTGCCGTCACTCTGTTTTGGAGAAGCTGACACCGCAACCCAAGCTCTCCTGCCCAAATTTGTGAGCGTGCAAAAAAAATCGTCATTTTTGTTTGTCTCGTTGACCCTCCTCACCGGTAACGAGATGGTCTTTTTTGAGAATGAACGTTTTCTGGCTGTCAACTCATGTTTGCAGGCCCACACAGTCCTGTCACCTTTATATAAAGAACGTTGCTCAGCGGTCAAAATTTCTATCATTTTTCTCATGGTGGTGCCCCCTTCACGAACAGGGGAGCACCGCCAGTGAGAATTTTTATTTTGGTCTCGCCAACCGACGGCCGAACTCCGATAGATAGGACGATGCATTTCCCACCTCCGATTTCATTTCGATTACGCTCAGTCTCATGCTCAAGCGAAGCACACTCTTCGCCGCGCTGGTCATCGTCGCGATCGCCGTGACATCGTCCGAGTCCGCTTCTCCCACCAACGGCTCCACAGAATGCACCCCCTGCCCACCCGGAAAGTGGAACGGCGGTCCTGGCTCGACCTACTGTACTCACTGTCTCGCTGACTCGTAGAACCCAAACCCGGGCATGTTCTATTGTCTCCCTTGCCCTTACGGAACACTGCCTTCCCAGGACAACACCTACTGCTTCACGTGCCCCCCGGGAATGCAAAACTTCAGGCCGAGTCTCTCATGCCTGCGATGCCCCGCGAACACCTGGTCAGTCGTCGGAGTATGCAATTATTGCCCTCCAGGATTATCGGCCCCTGCGGGGGGTGCATCTTGAACCTGCCTAGACACACAAATCTTTGATTCAAATGCCAACGCATGCATTGAGCAAGGGTAAGTTGTCGATGGTGTTCATGAAGTCACCATTTAACTTTCCCGCATTCATCATAGCGCGACGGCCAACGCCACAGAAGTTGCAAACTCTGGTATTGCCAGGAACTTGACTCGGGCACCAAAATAAGCGGCGGAAAATTTAAATGATTGTATAATCTACCGAAACCAAGCAGATGAAATGTCAGTCCTCCATTTATATGCTAGTGATTCGAACAGAACTTAGCGACTCTCCGGGTGCCCACTTTGTCATTACATGCACTACTTACTTTTCATCAGCGCAAACTCATCAGTGCGACGAAATCAAGTGCGTGTATATTTTCCATTTCATATGTATCAGTGATTCGAACAGAACAAAAGTGCAGTTTTCTACCCAGTCTTCAGAAAAATATCAAAATCCCCAATGTTAAGCTTCGTGCAGCTTTTTTCAGTTTTCCAAAAGCATAAAAACGTTCTTCCTTGACACCCGGTAGCCACCAGCACCCCTGTATCATGCCGAGGACCAACACTCACAAATCACTCCCCATCAAGATCATCATACCCCGCCATCCCGGGTAATATTCCCGACGAAGCGGCTCCACCCTTCTTGCCTCCGCTCATTCCGCCCCCGTGCCCACCGCGGCCCCCCGTCTGCGCCAACGCTGCCTTCTTAGCCTCCTTCCGCCGCTTCCTCTTCTCGGCCTTCTTCTTCCTCTGCGCCTCCTTTTTCTGCTCCAACTCGGCCTCGTCACCACCGCTGTGTATCTTCCCAACCAGCTGCGCAACGCCAAAGCCTTGCGCCGGGGCGGCCTCTGCCGAAGTCGAGGAATCCGACGACACGGACGCGTTGGGCGAGGGCTCCCGTGATACCATCTTCCTTGGTCGGGGCTTTGAAGTTGGATTCGACCCGGGAACGGTAGGCCCGTCGTCCTCGTTGCTGCTGCTCTCTTCATCCTCTCGGCGATCCTCACGCAGTTCACCGTCCTCCACATCCTCAGCGTCAGCCGTCTTGCGCTTCTTGCCGGGAACAGTGAGCTCGGCGGTTCGGGCGTGAATATCCTAATCGAACCAAATCACAACCACGTGTCACAAAACACGAACCATATAGCAGAAACCACACAAAACCCACCTCTCGATTCTCCACAGCCTCTGCTGCCTTCTTCGCCAACCCCTGCGCGACCCTCTCCCTCCTCGTCCACTCGTCCTCCTTGCCCTCCTTTGCCTTGACCTTCTTGACTTTTCCCCTGTCGTACTCCGCATCCCACTTATCAGGCCGCGAGACTTTGTCGGGCTTGTACCCATCCAACACTGCCGCGTCGCGGTCCTGAGTCGAACTCGCACCTCGGTCAAAATCGTCCCAGCTCGGCACGGCCTCCCCGAACACAAGTTGCGTGGCCAGTTCGCGCGTAGTAGGGAACGCGGATCGAGGGGTACCGTTGAGCCCGTTGGCTTCCCTCGGTCGTTTGCCGAGCGTATACTTCTCCTCGCGCTTAATCACCTCGTCCAGCGCGGAACGTTTGGTGTGGTCGCCCGCATCCCAGACCACCGCGGGGCCTTCCGGAAGTCGCTTTGGAACCACTGCTGGTGCGGGCTCGCCCTCGTCCTCCTTGGGCTTCTTGGCCGCCCGCGTCTCCTCCTCACCAGACTCACCTCCCGTGACGATCCATCGCCCGTGCCCTGCCGCCGTGGCAACCAGATCCGGCTTGTCACCACTGGCTTCCGCCTCAGCCCGCTTGCGCTTGCGAGATTCCGCCGTGGGGGATGCAGGAGGCGTCAGCTGACCCTGCTCCTTGTTCGCCGCCGCCGCAGACACAGGTTTGCGCGCGGGAACCGCGACCAATACGCCGTTCGTCTGAGCCACAGAGCTCTTGCCGTCCTTCTCGTTCTCAGCCGTCTTCTTGGCCACCAACTCCGCCGGGATCTCTGCTCCGTACACCTTCTTCGCGGTGGGGAGGTCGGGGCCGGACACCTTCTTCGGCCCGTCCTTGACGACCCCCGGCGTGTGTACCTTCTTTCCGTTGACAACGCCCTCGCCAGATGTTAGTACCTTGCCACCGTTGGAGAGTCCCGCCGGCGCTTCGCCGAGGGCCTTGATCGCCCCACCGCCGACGTCGATCCGGGTGTAGACGAGTACGTACGCCTCGGCCTGGGCGACGGCGTCCCACCCGAGTTTGCGGACTTCGTCGTCGTCGTACCTGTCGCGACGTGGTGGTTAGTCTTTTGCTTCTCACCACAACACACCACCATCACCCTAAAATGTGTCATAGCCAGCACCGACCACACACAAACGCACCTATACCACACCCCACCCGCCACTCTCGGCTGTTCCCCCACACCCCCCACAAGCTGCACAGGCGCGGCACCCTTCACATACGCCACATAATGACCCGACCGCGTCGTCCGGCCAGAATGGGTCACGACCCCCGTGAGGGCATACCACACGGGGTCCCGGTCGCGTTTGCCCTTTCCCGTGGTTGTTGCGGTTGCGGTTGCGGGGGGGGACATGTAGGGGGAGATGTCGAGGAGGGGGGGGAAGGAGACTTCGTGCGTGAGTTTTTCGGGGGTGCGGGTGTAGCCACCGCCGCCGCCGCCGAAGAGCCCGGTGCCGAACCCAAACCCGAACCGCTTCAAATGCACACATAGCACCCTGGGCGCGCCATGCATCGTAACCCACTTCTCCGCGTCCCTTGCCACCTTACACTGGGGGCACTTCCACCTCTCCTGCCCCGTGAGTCGTTCCCCTTTCGTGAACTTTTCCAACGCCCGCGTGAGTGTGGAGCAATGCGCGATGTCGAGTGAGAGGTCCGAGAAGGGGTCGTAGGTGGCGGATGTGGCGCCGCAGTGCAGGCAGGTGAGGAGGGAGCGCAGTTGCGAGGAGAAGAGGAGCGAGGGGAGGGTTGTGGGAAGGTTGGCGTGCGGGATTCTAAGGCCGTGTGTTAGAGTGGTCCAGTCGAGATCGTGAGTCAATGCAGATTGGCACAGAGTAACGCAACATGAGATGGCAGAAGGTGGGATGGTCAACACCAACCACCACACACCCCTAGCCCAAACAAGGAACCCACTTCTCACCCCCCGCCGCACTTTTCTGCATCGCTTCAACAAGATACCGCAGGAACTCGTGCGCGTCTTCTTGCCGGCCGGGGCGGAAGTGGGGGCGATCACTGTCGTGAGACGTGGGGGTGGCGTGGTGTGAAGTCGAGGGGATCAGGGGAGAAAAAAGTGGAACAGAAGTCAGAAAAAAAGCGTGACTGGCGTAGATCGGTACAGGATGTCTCGACTATCCGTAGTTGACAGCAACTCGGGCCTTGAGCCTCCGTCTTCTCGGCATACTCCGCTCCACTCGACTCCATCTCATTCCACACGCACAAACTCACATTTAACTCTATCCGTCAACCCCCTGGGCTGCATCGGCCCCGTCATCCCCCCAGCTCTCTGCTGCCCCATCCCCATCCCGACCATCCTGGTCACAATCCTCTCCATCTCACACGTCACACACCACCCCCCCTTGCCACACTTCCCGGCCTCTCTCGCCGTCCTCCCATGATGCCCCGACACGAGGTACGCACCCAGCGGCGGGGCATGGGCGAGGACTTGGATGACGGAGTTGAGGAAACATGTGTTGCCCTGGTTGACGAGGGAGCGCAGGGGGCGCAAGGGGGAGGGCCAGGAGGGGGGGATGGCGGAGGGGGGGAAGAGGTAGCGGGNGGGGTGGGTTCGGGTGGGTGGTGAGGGCGAGATGGTGGACGGAGGCCGCGGCAAGGAGAAGAGACGTGAAGGCGCGAACCGACAGGAGCGACACCAGCGCCACGCACCATCCTCTCTGCTCTCCACGGTCCCCTTGATAGGCGGTGGTTCAGTGGACGGGTT